CGTCGCACTTCACGCGTCCTGCGCCGTGTGGTGGCTTCTTTACAACAACCAGCGCGCGCTCGCGCTTCTGCAAGCCCACGCTGAGTGGTCTGCGAAGCTATGGGATGCGGCGACGAGCGCAGCGACGCGCCTCGACTCGGACGCGCACCGCGTCGTCGAGTCCCAGCTACGCCACATTGTGCTGCTCTTGGACGGTGTTGATGAACAAGTCGGCTTGGTATCGTCCTAATCAAAGATTGCGTACTATTTAGTTTGGTGAGGTTACCGTAGTTGTCGCTGGAACGGAGACACAGGCGAGAGCGAGTTTCAGCATGGCACGACGTGGCAGATATTATTGGCGTTCGCCATTTGCAACCACAAATAGCCATATTTTAGGGTGGCACATGCTCCGGCGGATCGACTAAAATGAAGTTTATAATTACCATACTCCCCAGAATGCTAGACGACACAATGGGGAGTCCAAAATGCTTTGTAGCGTCGCCGTGCGAGCTCTGTAGCGAGAGAAAAAGACGGCGGTAATTATAGTGCTATTTTGCCCATTCCCACGACGCTCCGGCTGCGCATCGAGTGCGATATCGAGCGCACGCTACCTTCCTCGACCACACGCAACATGCCCTCTAACTTGCCACCCGCGCTGTTCATTGTCAGTTTCCGCGATCGCATTGCATTCTCAACCGAAATTGCATGTCGCATTTTGTGAAAACGGACGCTCGGCAGTTCGAGTTTGGTGTGAGCGCCCAAGCGACGACGCGGCCCAACAAACTGGTCGCAGCCCGGGTCGAGACCCATCACCAGCTGTGGCAGCCAGAATTGGGGTCCTTGGAGCTTTAGAACCCCGTGATATCACGTGAAGTATTTAGGCAATTCTGCCGGCACCTCGAAAAATGGAAAATGGATTGGCGCGTGATTGCGCCGCGTTCAGCGTCGGAAACGACGTGTGCATCCTACATAAAGTGTACAGAGAGTTATATATATCTGCTACGTCGCGTTGGCGCGTTTGTGGGCTGACAATCATGGTTTTGGTACATGGCTCTCACACTATTTAACATGACG